ATCGATGAATTAATTCGCCCTATTGGATCGCTTTTTTTCTGTGCTCTACCTGACCGTGTCGCTTCAAAAGTGCAATTTGGCTTCTGTTACCAACCCCAGTACAACTCCTAAAATTAAAGAAAAGTTGTATTCAGCAAGATGCGAGTATTTTTGGAACGATTGGCGAGCGTAACGATCAAGTCGAAAGCAGAGAAAATAATATTGGCGAAGTGACTCGCGCAACATAATAAGCAGTGTTGTAACCGTGAATTTGTGCCTTTAATTTGCGAATTTCAAATTTGCTTGATTTGGTTGGTTAAATTGATGGTCCTAATTGTGTTCCTGTTTAGACAAGTCGATTTTTATTATTTTCAAGTGATCTTCAGGTAGATTTAACTTGTACAGTCGCCACCCATTGTCAAAGGCGATGGAAGTAAGTTCGAGGCCGGTTTCCGATTCGGAACCGTTTTCACCAGAAGTAATGAACTCGTTGTCTTATAATGTACCGCTATCAACAGCCAAAATTTTCAAAGACGAATGCATGTGGTGTTTCAATACACCTATTCATCCTGGTGAGTTTTTTTATTTCGTTTGTTAGGGCCTCGCAGCCATTCACACTGTTATCCATTCAGAATACTGCTTTCATTACAATATGACCAAAACTGAATGAAAAATGAAAGTTAATGATAATTTTACAAAGTAGTAAATTATCTACTGGTATTAGAATTGATGATATTTGCTTCAGGCGGTCTGTACATTTGCATGAAGACGTTTGCTGGATTTTGTTCGAAGCATGTGGGAAAATACTGCGAAAAAACTGGACAGAAAGCATTATTGCACATAAAGCGAACGAAGACCGAGTTAGCGGAAACAGATGGTCCCCAAGATAAGGTTACAAAGGTGATTTGTTAATGCACTTCATTCTCTTTATACGGAACCGTTATTTTGTTCAATGTGTTGTGTTTATCTGATGCTATCTTCTTTCATCGTTTTATTTCGTGCATTTCCGAATTGGTTCTTTATTCTGTTATTTCCATGTTGATAATGTTGAGTTTTGACTGAATGAGATTCGGGACGAAAAACAACATATAGTGATCGAAGTTGATTTCGTAGTTCATGTGATTGCAAAGAGAGCCGTGAGTTTTTCGGTTATTAAGAGTTTCGATTACGGACGACTTGAAACAGAAACTCAGAGCCAACACAAGTGTGATTGAACTGTCATTTTGTTTTCATTTTCTTATCTTTCTTCACATCAAATTACAGTTCACGCTTGAATTACTGGATTACTTTTAAAAAAATGATAGCAGAAGTAAGACGAATGATAGTTTGATAGTAATAGTAATAATATGACTGTTGAATTTAATAACCTTCACATATTTGATCGGAATGAATGTTTCAAGTTGGCCATCGATGTTGAAGGTGGTTTCCGTTCGGCACCAAAAACATCCATTGCAACTGAATACTCGTTTGTAATATTTCCCCATTATCATCACAAAATCGATATCGACAAATAAGTTTTATTTCATTTTGAAATTCATCTGTATCGTTCATAACTTCTTGGAATATTTGAAATTTATTTTCGAATTTGTATTGCAATGAAGTGTTTATCTCTTTTTCGGATGTATGGATTTTGGATTTGATTGAAAAAAAGTTTTGCAGCAACTCATTTTGGTGTTGCCGAAAGTTTTTTGAATAATTCATCCTTCTGTTTTCATTAGCAAATTTTTTTGCAACTTCTCTTCTGTCTTATTTTTCCTTTCTGACTGTTGTGATGAATGAATAGTTTCATTTTTTGTTTAGTCATTTCAAGTTTCATAATTTTTCAAGTTGAGTGGAAACCTATTAGATGCTTGCAAGAAAGTAGTGACAAATGAGAGTGCTCAACGCATTGAGCAGCTTGAAACCGGTGTGAGTGGTTGGGATGGAGAGGTTAAGCTCATTACCAAACACATCAATTTGGTCCAGGTTATCTGTTTTCCATCTTCCTTCTCTATCTTATCGTTTTGTGAAGAAACAAAAAACTCGCTTTTCCCTCATCAAAAATGATGATTACGAGTGATTTCTTTATTGAGAATAGTCAAGCATTGAATCATTTATCTAAATAATAACTTACTGAGTAGTTGTGTTCAGCTTGAGAATGGCGTAAAGGTGCCACAATCAGGATGGAAATGTGAAGCAGAAGGATGTGAGTTGACTGAAAATCTTTGGTTGAACTTAACAGACGGTGCTATCAAATGCGGTCGTTCACAGTACATCCAAGAAGGTGTGCTGAGCAAAGGCAATAACCATATGCGTCAACATTTTGACGCGTTCGTTATTTTTATCAGTTCACGTTTCCTCTTTAAACTACAGCAGGATTATTTTTGCAGTTAATAAAGTAACGCTGCGTTGTTGTTGTACGTGTGAATAGTTGTTTACACCAACATTTGGTCAATCAAACGATATGCGTTTTTGCTGAGGAATGCTCAGTGATATTTTCTCAGAATCTAGCAAATACAAGTTGTTGAAGGCGCGGAGCCATTCTCCACCAATCATTCTTAGTTTATGACTTAACCATAAAACGTTGTTTAATAATTGTTTCAGAGTTTATTGTGCGGACAAGATATCAGCAAAATTTTATTTATATAGCCATTATTGTAATTATTGATGAATAATAGTTGGATTTTATTATCACGTCATCTGCAGAACCGGCTATCCATTGGTTGTGAAACTGGGCACAATAACGAAGGATGATGCGGATGTGTTCAGTTATGATGAAGACGAAAGTGTTAGAGATCCGAATCTTGCAAAGCATTTAATGCATTTTGGTATAGACGTACAAACTGCTGAGAAAACTGAGAAGAGTACTTTGGAACTGGAATTGGATTTGAATCAAAAGTTTGTTATTATCATCAATATTGATCGCTTTGGGTAAAGAGAACAAAATGAATCTTATTTACATTTAGATGGGAATGGGCAATGTGTCAAGAAGATGGTGCAAATCTCCAACTTGCATACGGTCCTGGTCTAACTGGAATGATCAACATTGGTTCATCGTGTTATATGAATTCGGTCGGTTCTTTATCCCACAAGCAATCATTTCTCACCTCGTATTCATATAT